GTATACCTGTAGCCAACTATAGAAACCAAATAAACTCCACAAAACTCAGCACATAAGGCTCAAATAAGTTCCATCAGGCGGTCATAACACACTATCCACACCGGGTGGCCATCATTCCACCCTGTCCTTCAAAAAGCTTTGCCGGACTCAGCCACTTTCATTATAACCATCAGGGGCCTCTAGAAACCCCTAAATTAGAACCTCGTCCCTCCAAACCCAGGGCCTGACCGGTACCTTGGCAATTACCACCCCCCAACCAAATCAGCTCTCCAAAGTCCAATACACCAGATGCCACAGGACCCTCTAGTCCTCTCAGCCCCTCAGACATATCAACCGTCCATAGCTACAGGATAGCCTATACCCAATACAGCCAGGCAGTCACTAGTCTTGATCATACTAACAGAGTCCCACATCTGACAAAGCTAGCCACTTAGGGTCTACTAGCTACAGTTAGGAGCTACAAAAGAGGCAGCACCAACATCCAAAGGCACCGGCACTAGCCATACTATCCAACTCAGCCGAACTGAAGTCCAGCCGAGCAGGGAAAGAATCAGGCAGAACTATCCGAAAACAGCCCCACAGGTCCAGTAGAAGGCACAGACCAAATAATGGGCAAAAGGTATCCCCAACCAATGCAACAGGAAGGGGGGAGGCGAATACACAGTAGCAGACAAACAAAAGGTAGGCTCTACTTGTAATAGGTCAGGCTGCCAGCTACAATCCACAACCAAACCACCCCAATATACAGACAACGTGAGTGTCTAGTAGCCAATCATCCCACACTATTTCTGACAGCCATGAAAGCCACACCAGGGAGTAAAGACTTTCTGGATCAAAGCCATCCCTACCGAAGTGAGAAGGAGACAACTGACTGAACCACTATAAATGTCATAAGTACAAAAACTCCAAAGGAATAGTGATAAACAACATCATAGGATTCCGACTGTAGAAAAGTAGAGTAACAAAGAAGGGCAGGGCCAGCGAGGCTCCTACTTCCTAAAAGTTGATGTGCCCTGTATGATGATTTGAGGACTTGGGACAGTCATCAAATGACCCTATGGGCGTTATGTATCGCAACAACTAAGAACTCTATTAAAACTCAACAAGATACATGAGCTGGTCCAAAAAATGACATTAGTAATCCCCTTAAACACAATATTCAATCTCCTCAATTGAACACGAAACTTGAGAGTAGACGATAGACAGAAAGCTGAAGACATCGTACCGAAAAGAGCTTGTAAGCGACCGTGATGAATAGCTCGAAGTGTCAGCCTTATGAGATAACCAGCAAGTGCCAAAATGAGAAGCAAACAAATAGACAAGTTCTCAACCACACGACAATCATAATCACCAGGATACTAGGCAAACCCAAATAACTGCCTGGTAAAAAAAATCATCGTGGGCATGGAAGCTTACCACTGAGGCGGAGTAAAGGCAAGGATGAGGAAAGTACTTAGAATAAAGCGTGAACAGCCTATCCTCCTCAGCTTTACTAGCCTCCTTTTATAATGCTCTTCTCGCCCCAAGTCATGTGATCCAAAGTGGTTACATGCCTGAAACCAAATCATAACGAACTAATCATATGACCAAAGTAGTCACATGTGCAAAACCCATAACCTTTTAGCAAGGTCATGTGCGAAAACTTAAAAACCAATTATAACACAATAAACAAGTCATATGACCCAAAGTGGTCACATGCACGAAACCCATGACCTCATAACTAGGTCCTTTGTAAAATATAAATCATATATACAAGACATACCCACAAGGCATACTTGTAAGGCATACTCACCAAGTATATGTCCCTGGCTCATAATTGAGTCATGTATAAAACATATCAAATTATAATATAATAACTCATATAACTCCAATAAGTCATATGAGTAAAACAATAAGATACCTATGACTCATAATCATGAGTCATGTGAAAACTTTCTCCATGCCAAGCCACTTCCTGACAGTGTATGAGAAAACTAAAGAGTAACTATTCAACCAAGTATATCGAAATACTGTCTGTTAAAGTCTGCCTATTCCATTATAGAATCAGGCGGTCTTAAATACACAAATCTGTTTATGTCTAGCATAAACAAAACTAATCAAACATATCAAGTAATACTCTTTAGTAAAACAACTTAAGTATTAAAATAATACTTAAAACAAAACATAAAACAAAATCAAGTATCAAGCAAAACTTAAAACAAACCAAGTATTAGAGCAATACTTAAAACAAAATATAAAACAAAATTCTTAACCGAGTATGCATACTGGTTACAATTAGAAGTAATATTGTTCCACTACTACAGATAGTTTTACATATAGTAACAAGTTCCCAATTTATTGAACTTGTAAGCTATGACTACCTAGTTAGATCTCAGGCAATAATCCATTAATTGGGTCCGATTCTAATGTGAAATCCAGTTTCATCAAAATTATAGGTATCATCAGACTGGATATTGTATTTTATATAAACTCTTTGATATCTCTCAAACCAGTTATGTATCTCATTGAGTTGGTGTGTATTCTTTCAATTAGTATTTATGGTCTGTTGATTTTGAATAAAATATTCCAGATCGTGATTTAAAAATTACTTGACCCAGCACTCACTGACCTTTAGTGCTAGGAGAGGGTCTTTATAGGCATTTTGTAAAACAGTATTGGCACAACCAGTAATTATTTGAAGCTATGCACTGGTACCTATAGTATCTATGTGATCAATATACTGACAAACTACAAGCTCTTAGTCTTCTGTAAGAGCTTTATTGGTTCCTGGTCTTGCTTGTCATCATTGATGTCCATTCCACCTACTGCGTAATATAGTTACCAGTACTTCATATTCCTGAGCTGTTGCAGCAATGTTGAGACCATGCTCATTGGCCTTCAAATTATAAAGAATCACCAAGGTAGTTTGAATACATATTTTGATATCATTGTAGGCCTCTACACATTAACTCAGGAGTAAAATTGATGGTGGTGGTGGCATAAAGGACAGTAGTAGAGATAGGAATATTGATCAATGGTATCAGACAACATTTTACAATCATGTTCTATTATTTTATACTACAAAATATCTTAGATTTTAAAGTTCAAATTGCTATTAACCTTTAATGGACCATTGAGTATTAAGGTTCTATTGAGATTCAAATTACCATTCAACTTGAATATGTAGTATAACCACAAAGTAATATTGTGGGTCAGAGTGATATTGTGGCTCAATGCTCTGTTGAGCCACAAAGTTGCATTAAGCTGTCAAGTGGTATTGGGTTGTCGGGCACCCGGTGGAGTGCCCCCAAAAGTGAACAAGTGAACTTGGGGGGTTGTGGCTGTCCAGCCACAACCATGGCACGAGTATTTTCTTCCCTCCTTCCCTCTTTCCTGCAATTGGCACCGGTCTTAGTTTCGGAAAATTCCTGGGCATATCCGATCACTCGGACACCGGAAACATTTACCCGGCCGCGGAGAAGAAGGAAAGAGGGAAACGATATCCCACAACTACACCACAAACCACGACCACGACCACGACCACGACCACAACCGCCAATCTCCCACGGGAAAAAATTACAAAAAATGGGCCTCCGTGGAACCTCAGACCCAGGGAAGGACCCCCGCGAAGCAGCGGCAGACGCAGAACTATCGGAACTACTATCAAACCTCGAAGCGGAAGCCGCTGCCATTGCCCAGCGAAAGCCCACCACCGCAAGCAAAGGGGAAGAGGACGAAAGAGAAGCAACAGCCTTCCCAACCGAAATGTCATGCATAACAGCCTTCGACGAGATGTACTACTTCCCCTCATAAATGTGCAAGGACGGCTTAACCTCTCACTGACC